CACCACAGTGCTCAAGGGAGAGGGAGAAGTAGAAATTGTTGGGGCTTCGTCGTGAATATGTTTATGATGACCTTTGTCGGGAGAGGAATGTTCAAACCGACGCGAAGGGGCGTCGGCCACATTGTACTTCGTGTTGACATACCGAAGTCTCCACCGCACCCTACACCCTATCGTGTAGGCCGCCGCGCGCCGGCACTGTGCGTTCAGAGCTGCTGAGCGGCTAGACCGCCCTTTTTCCAGGCAGCCAACACAAACCATGGAGTCGACGATAGAAACCAAGCGGCGTCCGCAGTTGCTGCGGACGCGACAGGCATGGCGAAGGCCCATCACGGCAGCTCGGGTCTCCTTCACATGTGCTCGCTTGGCCAGCGCCACCTCTTCGCCGCCACCAGGCGGAAGCCCTCGGGTTCGCACCACGCGGCCGGGAGCGGTGGCGCAAGAGGACCGGTCTGCTGTGGCGGGACCTCCAGATCGCCCTCACGCCAAAAGGCGGGGCACTCCCGGCGGCGGCGGCGCGGCTGGTGGGCCCCCGCCGACGGCGAGCCCTCCTCCGCCTGGCGCTGCAGCCACTGGCCGAAGGCGGTCGCGGGCGCCGCGCCGCTGCAAGGCGAGGAGGACTGACAGCGAGGCTCAATCTCATAGTCCAGGGACCGGTCGATCACATCGCCGTATCCCCCCATGTCGGCAACATCAGTCGGAGGCACAAGACCCACGCGCGGCCCCCGGAGGTGCTGCTTGAAGCTCCACTTCTCCTTCCAGCGGAAGGCCGAGCGCAGGTCGCTGAGCGAGGCCCTCTTGTACATGAGCCCGTACCCGTGGTCGGCGGAGTCGCTGGCGTACACGTGCGGTACGTAGGGCGCTGCCAGGTCGACCTCCGCGAGCCAGACCAGCCCGACCACGATGCGCATCTCCTGTCTGACCTCGCTAGGCAAGACAGTCCGCATGCCCCAGGCCTCCTCTGCAAACCGGTAGACGGCGGACAGCGCAGCGTAGCCTGGCCGGGCCAGCATCAGCAGGGAGACCGCGTGGCCCAACCAGACCTCCATGTGTTCACCTCGCATCTTACCCCGGGTCAGCAGCGCCCGGGTGGCCAGGTCGAACCTCCAGACTCGGGAGGCCTTGTTACGCAGGCGCCCTTGCTTCAGATCAAGCTCGATCCCCACCGTCTCCAGGTGAGTGACGACGTCGGGGTACGACCAAGTGATGGGGAGACCACAGTGCTCCGCCTCGTCGCGAAGGGCAGCACTGGCCTCACGGGCCACAGCGGCAGTCTTACCCAAGACGGTGATGTTATCAACGTAGACGCTGCCCATGACCCCGGACTCGTTGAGGTCAGGCGCTGGGAGGTGCTCCCTCACCATGGCCGGCTCCAGAGTCGAGCAAGGCCGAAGGGCGCGGGAGGTCATAGCTGATACGGCTTCTTGAGCGAAAAACAAGGCCCAGGACCAGCCCATGCACATGGCACGCATGCACGGGTACAGCACGACATCGTCAGTCGCCGCGATCATCCTGTGGAGATCTGGGTCCCAAAAAGAGCCAATGTTGATGCCGTAGGTGTCCCTGATGGTGGCAGCAGGCAGCGGGTCGTCGAAACCGAACCACTCAGCCAGCCCGTCTATTGAAAAGTTATAGAAGCAGTCCTCGACGTCCGCCTCGTTCCCGTGGGGGTCCCAGCCGACGACGCTGCCGACGCCGCCGAAGGAGCCGTTCCCGTCGGAGAAGTCGAGGTCCGCGAGGGCGCCTGCCGACCCAAGGCGAGTGGTCGGAGGCGCACGGTGGCAGGCATTGGCCTGCCTCGCATCAACTATCATTCTGATCTCGCCAGGTTTCTTTTTCTTCACGAAAAATAAGGCGGCTCGAGCGCGAAGACGGGGCCTGAACGTGATGAGTCCCAACTCGTACAGCACTCGGAATAGCCTCCATCGCTCCAGTCGGCTAGAACGAAGCACTGGATCCCAGTAAGGCTTGATGGGATCAGTTGTCTGACGTGTGAACTCCATCTCCCCCTCATCCTTCTCTATGTACTGAGCTGGGTTCCGAATCATCTCCCCAGCCAACGGAGGAAGGAAGTTGGCCACAGACCGTGGCCGGGCGCGTCCCTTGGCAACCTTGAGCTTTGTCAGGTCGAACGGCGCTAGGTGCTTCGGCTCCTGGCTATACAGGTCCTTCGAGGCCAGCAGCTCGCGCGCGGCCCCCTCGGCTGTGAGGCCTGGCGGGGGGGGCCCTACGGCGTCGACGCGCTCCACGATGCTGTCCAGAATCCAATCCTGAACGGCCGTAGGGGCCCGAGCTGGCTGACGAGCCTGAAAAACTGAATCTGAATTCGGCTGAGCAGCAGCGAGGTGGTTGAGCGAAGCCCGTGCCAAGGAAGCCCGCTGTTGCTGCTCGAAGTCGCCACCCATCTTGCTGAGCTGGGATGGTGAGAAATGCGGCAAGGGGAAGGGATCCCCATGCCTCCGTCTTGAAGGCCTCCACCTGGTAGGTTGTCCCCGATCTTGAGTGACCGCGCCGGGCCGAGCTCGGGGTTCAGACTCGGCCCGGAAAGCCTCGGTCACCCCGAGCCTCTCTGCTCCTGGTCGTCCCTGCCGTTCTTGCCGCGGCGACGCCCGCGGCCGCGTCCGCCTCCCTTGCTGGGATCCACCGAGGTGCGGGCAGCCTGCAGGGCCCGCTGCTCCTCGTTCCAGTGGCGAGTCTGCTTGTAGCCCGAGGAGAGCTCCTTCAAGCGACCGATGACCCACTCCGTGAATCTGTCTGTGCTGGCCCGGCCCTGCTCCGAGACCGGAGCGTGCAGCACAATGTCGAGCCCGCCGTAGTCTGAGTGACGAGGGTTGAGCGAAACGACCATCTCGTCCTGACAGACCCTGCGCATGGCGAGCTCGAAACCCCTCAGGTTGGAGACGTCCAACTGCTTGACTTGGATGGTCAGCCGCACGATCTCGCCCATCACGAAGTGGATGTGGGCCACAGCTGTGCCCTCTCCGACGCCCGAGCGTCGCGTCCACTGAGTGTGGTAGGTGGTCAGGTCGCCCGGCCCATCCCGAACAGAAACCAACCCCTCCTTTGCGATCCGAGGCCCAGGCATGATCCAAGCCTCAAACGAGGTCCCCCTCAACATGGAGATGCCCTCGGTGAGATTGGGATGGCGACGGCCTGAGACGTCTCGGTGATCAACCAACACGCGTAGGTCTCCCGTTCCAGCTTCACGTTCGGCCTTCCACTTCTCGATTTTCGCGCGATCTGCCTCGGTCTTCTCCGCGAAAACCTCCAGGCCGCTGACTGGAGAGACCCCCTTTGTCTGCCCCGGCGTGGCATGCTCCACCTCCTGGTCGGTCAGGGTCTGCGAGAGGCGGAGGTGGCTTGCTTCTGAGATCACCCAGGTAAAATGCTCGATCTCCATGTCGGCGTCGTCGCCTCCCAAAATTGCTGCCTGCACCGTCGCCTGCCTCTTCAGAGCCAGGGTGTCTGCCCGCGGCACGGGGTCGAAGCCATAGACCTGTGCACAAATGTTGGCAGAGAACATAGCATTGCGATCCAAAACCTTATGTCGCTGCTCCGAAAGATTGTGACGGACGAGTTCCAAGTCGGGAGTGGCAGCGATCCCAATCTCTGGTGCAATCTTCTTGACCAAAATGCGCTGGTGCCAGAAAAGCCCTCCTGCGTCATCTGGATAGTGCACCAGAACCTGGGGCACTGAAATGTCCACCGTATCCATCTCGAAAACTCTAGGCGCAGCTGGTGCTAACGGCGCCGACGCAGATGAAGATGGCGAAGGAGATCGCGAAGGGGCCTTCAGAGCCCGCGTGGTCAGTCCACGCAGCACGAAGATGAAGAGAATGATGGCCCAGTCCACAAACATGCCGATGACCGCGCCCACGGCCAGCCAGTAGCTCCACGGGCAGTCAGGCGCAGCTGCCTCCACCGGGCACCGCGTCGGGCCTTCTGCCGGCGCCACCCGCGGCCTGCAGACGCAGGACGGGCAGGCGGGGCACGACGGGCAGGACCCACACGTGAGCTAAGGCGCCGTCGGGCAAGGAGGGGCTGTCGGGCAGGTCGGGACTCCGACCGAGGTACGCGACAGACCGTTGGCAGCGAGGTCCTGGGGATGCTGCTGCCTCATCGGCCCTCAAGACTTGAGCGAGATGGTTACAGACCAACAAGCGGGCCACACCGAATTGAGAGATATAACAATCAAAGATTATAAATAGATGTGATTATGCTGACCATGATGGTGGTTTTGATGATGATATTGATGATGCTGATGGTTATGCTCATGATGACGATGATGGAGATGGTGATGCTGATTGGTGGTAATAATAATAATGATGATGATGATGATGATGATGCTGATGCTGATGCTGATGCTGATGCTGATGCTGATGACGATGATGATGGTGATGATGATGGTGATGATGATGATGATGATGATGATGATGATGATGATGGTACACTCATGATAATCGGAATTCCAAGTAGCACGAGCCTGAAAAACAGGCACCAGCCAGAGGTGCAGGGTGAAAAGAACACGATATGCCAAATGCGTGGCGAAAGCAAATATCGACCTGAAGTACGACGAGAAACCCGACAAAACAAAACTCAAGAGGTAAAATCAAACTCGATCGAGACAAGCGCGGGAAATAAAGGGAAAGAGAGAGAGAGAGAGACAGACAGACAGACAGACAGATCGGCAGGCAGACCGACAGACAGACAGGCAGACCGACAGACAGACAGGCAGACCGACAGACAGACAGGCAGACAGACCGACAGACAGACAGGCAGGCAGACAGACAGACAGGCAGACAGACAGACAGAGAGGAGGGAATGGGGACAAGGCTTAGGTCGGGCATGTCCCCCCACAGGCGGATTTTGGGCGGAAAATTAAACATACCCCACAAATGTTCACAAAGATTCAGAAATGATAGAAAAATGGTTCCCAGACCATCTTTTGACTATTTTTGAATATTCCTCCTGTAGAGTGGCACGCCCAACTGAAGACAAGGTGCCCGTCCTCTTCACCCAGCCTGCGAAGACCTCGCGAAGCTCGGCCGCGGTCTCCGCCCAGCCCTGCTCGTGCACGGCGCCGCTCAGGCGCTGGAACGTCTTGGCGCAGGGGAGCATGTCCGACTGGGCCATCTCCTTCCGGGAGGCCGCTGCCAGGGTTAGGTCGGGCACGTCCCCCTACAAGCGGCTTTTGCTGAAAAATACAAAACCAATGTATATCCCCACATATATATATATATATATATATATATATATATATATACGTATACCAAAAAATACTCGAAAAAACATCCCCAGACTATTTTCACTATGTTGAATATTCCTCCTGTAGAGGGACAGGCCCGACTGAAGTCTTGGCGCAGGGGAGCATGTCCAACTGGGCCATCTCCTTCCGGGAAGCCGCTCCCAGGGCCCGCAGACCCTCTCTCGGAAGCTGGGCGAGGACTGGCAAATCCGTGGCTGCTAAAACGGCTTTCCCAGAAGAAAAAACAGATTCCCAGACTAAAGCTCAGCTCACTGAATATTAAACGGGCTGCTTCCCGGAAGAGAAAAACAAGTTCCCGGAGCTCCGTTTTAGCAGCAACGGGTTTGCAAGCCTTCGCCTAGCTTCTGACTCTCTTAGAGCTTCGAGGACGAGCATCAACCGCAGAATCTGCATGCGTAAAACTGAAGGCTCAGAAAGAGCACAGCTGCACAAAGATAGACTGCTGCCAGTCCGCGCGGACTGCTTGGATCGGCGCTGGGACCCCTGGCGGCGCCTCCCGCGCCGCCCCTGGCGCCATTTGCGCGCTAGGGAGAGGGGGGGTCCAGCGCCGATCCAAGAAATCCGCACGTAGCTCCGGATTTTTCCCTGGAGCAGGAGATGGGAGCGAACAGCGACAATGTACACGACTCATGTTCGTCGCAGGGCTGCCCTACGAACGTGGCCGAAACTCGGGCCAGGGATTCAGGCATAAACGGATTCGGGCCACGCCACGATTACGTTGCTTCGTATCGTATGTGTTTCCTCATTCGAGCTTGAGCGGGCGAGGAGCGGTATGACAGAAACTGATCCGCCATCCGGGGCGCCTGTCCCAGGGCGGCCGGGGAGCTCACACCCCGACGGTTGCAGGCGGGGGTGCAAACTTTCCATCCGCCCTGGGACGGGCACCCCCGATCGCGAAAAAGCCTATGTTCTGCAGCTCCCTGCCCGCTGGCAAAGTCCCCCCTCGAGGGAAAACGAGCAAGCGAACGAACCCCTGGGGGACACGCGCGCGCTCCGCCTGGAGGAGCCCGTCCGTGCCAGTACTGGTACCCGTGAGGGCGCGGCGCGGAGGCCGTGGCCTCGGCGAGACGGGACACGGGCTCGGACGAGCTCGACCACGAGAGACCTTCCACGAGAACACACAACCCCCGAGACCCCGGGGCGTCCACTGGTTTGTGGCGCGGGAAAGCCACGCTTTCAATAGCATAACCATCGAAACCCAAGAAAACCAGGGCACCCTGGAGGCTAGCAGGGCGCTTCTTGGCATGGGTTTCCATTGTACTCGAAGAACGAAGCAAGGCACAAACGTAAACCTTCGGAGCTGCGCTCGGAGTTCTTGGATCGGCGCTGGGGCGCCCCTGGCGGCGGCTCCACCCGTGGCGCGCTCCGCTAGCCAGGGAAGGAGGTCCAGCGCCGATCGAGGTGATCCGCGCGGAGCTCCGAAAGTGCACGCTTGTGCTGTTCGTTCTTCCTCGAGGTACGGACGCGAGCTCACGAGAGGACCACCACACAGGGATGAGGGGGCAGGGGGAGGGGGAACAGGCGAGGGAGCCCCACGGGGAAGAAGCGGGAGGGGGGAGGGAGATGGCTCCAGGGCTCCCCCCCTCCCCAGACCTCTGGCGGCTCGAGTTGTCCTGCACGCCCCCCCCCCCCAGCCTGGCCTCTCGGCCTCCTCCCAGCGTAGGGCGACGAAATCTATACATATCCACTGCTCCCTGGCCAGGCCCATCCTCAACCCCGCAGCGGTGTATACGCCACGCCCTCCTGGCTTGGCCAGGAGGGCGCATACACAGCTCCTGGGTTCAAGATGGGCATGGTCAGGGAGCAGTGGATATGTATAGATTTCGTCGCCCGACAGCGGGCCGCGTCCGCATCCCGAGTCGATGCTGGTGCTCCGGCGGCCCGAGGCTGGCCTCCGGAGGCCCAGCACAGACAGGAGCCCGGCCGCCCCCACGAGTTGTTTGGAGCCTCCGGACCCCTGGCCCGCCCGCCCTTTCGCGGGGGGACGGGGAACGGGAAGAGGAGGAGGAGGAGGAGGAGGAGGAGGAAAGGGAGGGGCAGGGGAGGGGGAGGGGGAGGGGGAGGAGGGGTGGGATCGGCGGTCCCTCCTCCCCCCCTCTTCCCCTTCCGGGGAGGGGATTGCCCCTCCCCATCCCGTGGGTGTAGACTGGAGGTCTCGCAAGTGGTCAGAGCGTTCAAGATGGCCTCGGCGAGAAAGGCCAAGGCGCTGATCGTCCATAGGTTCGGGCAAAAGTTTGGAATCCTGTGGGGACGGCGGGGGTGGGGCTACTCGGCGCCCCCCTTCCCCTTACTGCCTCCAAGATAGCCCCGAGACTGCCCGAAACGCCCCCGAGAGAACGCCCAAGAGGCCCCAATAGGCCCCGGAGAGGCTCCAAAGCGGCCCCCCAAAGAGGACCCCAGAGAGTCTCCCGAGAGGCCCCCCCGAGGCGCCTCAGACGCCCCAGGAGGCCTCTGGCCCACAGGGGAGCCTGTCGTCTCTCTGGTAGAGGCACAATCTGACAAACTGGGATGGTTGCTGCTAAAGCCGACAACCGACCTCGCAAGTGTTGAGCACGTGGCGAACCCTCCTGGCCCGTCTTCACATGAGACAACTCAGCAAGATGATTGGCAACAGTAGACCACCAGCGCGAACTGCAGTGTGATGCAGTAGGCGCAGGCTTGCCCCCATCCATGGTCTGCTTGTTAGGGGGCCTGCAACATTCCGCGACCCTGGTACTGGCGACACTCCTGAGGGTGTACCTGATAAAACTCGCCATAATACAACTCCATGGTGTGAGACCACTCAGAAGACACATCACCAAGACGGAGGGCCGCCTCTGAATCAGCCTGAAATCCCAAGCTGCTCGTCACCAAAATCTGGAGGTGTAGATCGTCGGGCCACCTGCTCCGAAAGACTGCACCACAACAGATCCTTGGCCGAGCCCGACCAGCTACTCTGAATACTGGCATATGCTGAAAGATCATCCTGCTCAGGGACATCAACCAGCTCCTGAAGCTCGGGAGCATCATCAGAGGGGAGCCTCGGTGTCCTCCTCGTCCTCGTTGTCGGTCCAGAAGTCCTCCTCCTCGCACTCCAGGTATAAGTACTGCAGTGTAGGAGGACTTTTGCTCGACATCTTGCGCTTAGATCCCCAAGCTGCTGGAGTTTGGGCCTTGACCGAGCCTCCGGATGTAGCCCGCTGCGTCGGCAGGAGGAGGAGGAGGAGGAGGAGGAGGACAGCAGGAGGAGGAGGACGAGGAGGAGGAGGGGCGAGGATGGCGGGGGGAGGGAGGGGGGGAGGGGGCAAGGGGCAACGAGCTGGCGTCGGGTTGCTGGCTTCCCGTCCTTGTACAGCATGACGGCCCGCCCGAGCCTCTCCGCCTCTATGTAGCAGTGGATCGCGTCGCGGAACGCGAGGTGGCTGGGCTGGGCGCACTCCTGCAGGACCAGCAACAACTCCCACGCGCCCCCCCCCCCCCCCCCCCTCCCTCGCTCCGGAGGGGGGAGAGGGGGGAGGAGGAGCAGCAAAGATGAGCAAGGAGGAGGAGGAGAGGAGGAGGAGGGAGGAGGAGGAGGAGGCGGAGGAGGAGAGGGGGAGGAGAGAGAGGGGAGGAGGAGGAGGAGGAGGAGGGAGGAGGGAGGGGGAGGAGGATGAGGAGAAGGAGGAGGAGGAGGAGAAGGAGGAGGAGGAGAACGAGGAGGGCGAGGAGGAGGAGGAGGAGGGGAGGATGGGAGGAGGAGGAGGAAGAGGAGGAGGAGGAAGACGAGGAGGAGAAGGAGGAGAGAGGGGGAGGAGGAGGAGGAGGAGGCCCAGACCTTATCCAGACAGGCGCTGAGATCTGGTGAGCAGAGCCCGTGCAACGTAAACAGACAAAAAGGCCCAAGGTCTGGAGCTCGGGCGGAGTGAACGTTTCGATCCTGGCGCCTCTCCTCCATTTCAGCCGCTCGGCGCCGTGTTCGGGCCCAGAGGCCATCGGGGAACGACCTGGGACCAGAAAGACTGCTCCCCAGGGAAAGGGGGTCGAGACCTCTATTGGCGGTGCGCACAAGGGGGTAGGGGGAGGGGGGAAGGCTTCTTGAAAGCAGGGTGCTTATAAGAAGCTTTCCCCTCTTCCTGCCGCCTCTGCGCGTGGCTGACTGCGCGGCCCATTGATGGAATAGAATCACGACGCCAGAAGTCTGGGGAGGCGCACGCCAGGGACCTGGACTCGACGGGAGCGGACTGGACCTGTGGGAGGAGAGAGGGGGTGAAGCGCAGCAAGAGGAAGAGGTAAGACAGGAGGACAAGCAGGAGGCGGGGGGGGAGGAGGAAGGGAAGGAGAAGTGGTCTCCAGAGACCTCCAGAGGCCCCTGCCTGGCAAACCCCCCCGGGAGAGGCCGCTGTGTCCGGCAGCCAGCCACCCCAGGGAGACGGCGGAGTCTACCGGCTCCCGACCACCGAGCGCCCGCGGGTGAGACCCCCGCGGGACCGAGGAGGAGGAGGAGGAGGAGGAGGAGGAGGAGGAGGAGGAGGAAAAGAAGTGGTAGGAGAAGCAAGAGTAGGAGGAGGAGAAGGAGGAGGAAAAATAGGAGGAGGAGGAGGAGGAGGAGGACGACGACAGGGGGTAACAAGTTGCTTGGCCACGAAGCACTCCTCGAAGATGTCCAGCGCCTCCCCGACCCTGCCGGCGGAGGTGCAGGCCCTGGAGGGGACGACTCGGAAGTCGTGATGCAATCGGGGCGAGGCGCGGTGCGGCAGCCCCTTCCTCCCTTCCTGCCTGACCCGCTGCCACCCTCACCCCATTCCCCCATCCTGATCCTCGTCCTCTTCCACGTGCTAATTCACTTGCTCCTCCTCCTCCTCCTCCTCCTCCTCCTCCTCCTCCTCCTCCTCCTCCATCTCCATCTTCATCTCCATCTCCATCTCCATCTCCATCTCCATCTCCTCCTCCTCCTCCTCCATCTCCATCTCCTCCTCCTCCTCATCCTCCTTCTCCTCCTCCTCCTCCTCCTCCAGTGCGCACAGCTCCCTTCGTCCTGACAGCGGACAACACGATGGGGTCAGCTGGAGGGATCCGGGTCCGCTATGACACCCGTCGGCGGATGAGAAAAAATCAGCACCCCGCGTGCCCCGACTGGCTCAGACGTTGGCGGATGGGTCAGCGCCCCACAAACGGGGACTCCACTAACGGGTACTTTGGCCAGTGACCCAGCGAACCCAACCCTTCCCGATGCGGGCAACGCTGCATTGCCAGAAAGAGGCCCTAAAGTGGCAACTTTCGGCAAAATTTCAAAGTACCCGTTAGTAAGTACCCGTTACGGTGCCGTTGAATGGGGAAGAAAAATCGGCACCCGGCTTGCCCCGACTGGCTCGCAGCGGGAAGGGTAGGCAATGGCCTGGGAGGGGCGACAGATCGCCGAGGGACCGCCGCCGGAGAGGCCCCAGGCTACGGGTGGCAGCCTGGGGCACCAGGGACCCGCTCAGCGGCGAGGAATGGAGGACCACAGGGTCTGGTCGGGCTGGTCCTCCTGCAGGCAGATGCTGGCAGTCCTGGGCAGTCCTGGCAAAAACGGAGCATGGGCAAAACATGCGCAAATACAGTCGAACCCCCGTCCCTGAGTATGTCTTGGCTGTTGATGAATGTTCCTCCTGTAGAGGGACATGCCCGACTTGTCCTCCTACAGCCGGATTGGAAAAAACAAAAAAAAAAAAAAAAAAAAACGTAGCCCAAAAATACGCAAACCTAGTCTAACAAAAAACGTCCCCTGCTTATTTTTGGGCCGTCCTTGAATGGTCCTCCTGTGAAAAGACCTGCCCGACTTAAGAGTCGGTGGGCCGGTTCCTGCCCCCCCCCCTCCCCCTCTTTCGGGAGCCAGCCCCTCCCCCCCTTGCGGCACCCCTGACGGGGGACAGCAAAACAAAAGGTACCGATACCGCTATGCTTCAGTCGGGCGTGTCCCCCTACAGGAGGATTTTTAACGAGAAATGAAGCATACTCCAGAAATACTCCAAAATGTTCAAAATAATACTCAAAAATAGTCCCCTGGCTGTTCTATTTTTGAATATTCCCCCTGTAGAGGGACAGGCCCGACTTAACGCTATGCTCCCCAGACCTCTCCCACTCCCCCCCCTGGGCTCGCCGCCGAGGGACCTGCAGGACGCGAGGCAGGGAGCGGGGAAGGAT